AACACACGCGAATCGAACCGAGACAGTTGAACCAAACGGTTCGGACGGTTTTCATAAACCGTTCCATCCCTAATGCAAGTACAAGTAAGCTATTTTTCATTCAAACTTTTCAGTAAAGTCCTGCAGCAATGCACCCTGAACTTTCAATCTTATGAACAAACTGTAACCCTGGAGTGAAACATCAAAGTGTTTATAGGTAGTGCAAAGGAAAATAGAAATATATACGTAAACGGAATATTTGTTAAAAGCAATTGCAACTCTGATGTTTTACTAAATTGATTCAGCCCTGATTAAAACTGGATAAAAATTGGCGTTCCTTGTCTTTCCAGTCTAAAATAATGATTTAGCATTCATTTCTTTATCATTGAGTCACAAGACATGTGTGAGGAAGGATCGGCCACACAGAATCTCTGTCTGCAAACCGGTACGACTCAAAGCTGCTGCCACAGAACCTTCCTCTCTTCCCCCTCATATCCTCTGTCTCTGGTAAAGACAGTCCTTCGCCTCATCCAACTCCTCCATCTCTACACTAACATCAGTAGAATTGCTCCGCTCGCCATGTTTGTGTTGATGTAATCACCAGTGTGCCACATCTGAAACATTTCATTTGCCTGCTTACTTGATAAAATGCCAGCCTGTTTTCCACTGATGCCATTATTGTTGAGGTCAACAACATATAGCAGGAATCATTAGAAATCATGTCGCTAAGAAACGCATCACTACCCAAGTTTTGCATAAAAAAGCAAACTTGTGCCTCCCCCCTAATGGAACGGATCTATGCACACTGGAGCTCTACCGTTAAATTAGCAGGTATGATATTAGGTTTGGACCCTGTAAATTTTGGGGTCAGTTTTAACCCATATATCAGTTCTGGTCTCATTCACACATGACCTTGACCCAGTAAATTACTGGATAAGATAAGGAAAAACATGAAAATCCTCATTTAACAATGATTTACTCTAAACTGCATTGATAAATTCTGTTAATTTTATTATCAAAAATATTTTTAAGTATAAATATGTATGAGTTCTACAGACTTTGAGGTGTTTTAATGAGCTTGGGAAGTTTCTTCTGCACAAAAACAGAACTTTCAATGATCGTAAACATTTGTTTCATCTGAAAAGACAAATTTCTTTTAGGGTTTTGCATTTAACTAATACAAGTTGTATAATAACAAATTAATTCTTATCTATAGCTCTTTATTGGACGAGTCCTAGTTCTGCCATAAAATCCCCACATTTGTATTTCATTAATTGTTAACTTCCGATTTAATCCTTCTTAAAATATGTTGTCTTTTTTAATTTTCCTCCATGGAGGCAGGTAAAAGTGTAATTAAAGAATATTCTGTGGAATATTCTTTATAATTGTCATGTTTGGTTTTGTTGCTATTGTAATAAATACAGAATTGTATCAAAGAATATATGTTTATATGCTGAACAACTATAAAGATGAAACATTAATACAAAAAAGTTTATATAATAAAAAAAAAATCTGCAATTTGTTTGTTATTAATATTAAGTCAATTATGACCATTTATGCAAATAATCATTAGTTACTGTTATAATTGAATGACTGCTGCTGCCAAAGAACATTTAGTGATATAAGTTCCAGGCATTTATTAAATGAAGTAATTAAGTTGAGTGCACATCAAATGAAAAAAAAAAACAGTATCGTCAGCATGCAGCATGGTGGTGGTAGTGTCATGATGAGGGTATGCTTTTCTTTTACAACTGAAGGAGTGAAAGTATTAAGAAAATGGGTAGGAGTACCTTGTTGAGGACTAGGATCGCTGGGATATGCGGATGCTGCGCCAGACATTTCAGCACCTCAAACTCCAGCCTGGAGCACATCCATCTGTCTGAGACGTCCACCATGACAACCACTGGAAATAAACACAGATGCTCAAACTTTTAAACCACCACTCACTACAAACAGAGAGGTGAAGCTCAGGTCTGGTCTCATACTCAGGTCAGCTTCTTTGACGGTGGTCCAGGGGTCCACAAGCAGGGATTTCTCCAGCTGATGCCTGTGGAATCAGAAGGTCCAGTCATGAATTAAGACACCAAAGAAACATTAAATAGCAGAAACTCAGTGAACAAAGAAACACCTTTTGGCTTTTGATGGTGTGGTGAGACCAGGGGTGTCCAGCAAGATCTGTGGAATAAACCCCAACAAATTAACGCAGGCCTTTGAAATCTTCGGCTAAAATCTTTGATGAAGCTCTTACAATCTGTGTGTCGGTCTCCGTTAGGACACCAAGTGCGCGTGAACGAGTCGTGTGAACTTTCTTGGACACAGCAAACACCTTTAAGCAACGAGGAGAGACTTGTTAGCACCACCTCCCACGCAGATGAAAGGATTGCAGGTTTAAAAGACGGATGAAGACCTTTCTGCCAAGAAGCTGATTGGACAGCGTGGACTTCCCGGCATTTGGAGCTCCGATTATAGCCACTCTCAACACCTTTGAGTCAGGAGGCTGATCTGGATGTCTCAGCAACAAGGATACCTGTTCACCTTTAAAGATGCAATGCACAGGAAGATAATTAGAGAGAAAATGAACAGCGTGTTAGATCGGTGACAGGATGACATCAGCACTTTTTAAAAGAAAATAAAGCCGGGCCTGCACAATCAGATCCGTAAATCTCTGAGGCAGCAGTCTGCTTACTGCTGTCTGGAGGTACTGAGGCTGGATGGTGATGAATGCTGCCGTCAGTCTCTGCTGCTTTGCCTTTCATCAGTCCGCTGAGAAATGCTTCAGATGTAATAAAACAAGCGGGGGTGAAGATGAATCCGGGCCTCCCGCCTCGGCTGCAGGCGGCGCTTCCTGTTAAGACATCAAAATCTCTGTGACTTTGGTGTCGGCACTACAGCGAGATGACCGATTACGCTTCCTGGATACTAATTGATTTGACACATTATAAGGATCTATTCACAGGTTCCTTGTTAAAAACGCCTTTGCTAAAATTAATCAAAAAAACTGCTTATTCTCATGAAGTAGGTGCTGAAAAATGCATGAAGTCATCAATGTTTCTTAGGGTTCTTTTTCATAAAAATCTTCCTCTTGTAGCGGTTCCTTCTTTGCTACAGCAGATCATCATCTTCCATTTCATCCAATCACCTCCGTCACCCCAAACCGCGACATATCCTTAGTTACAAGCCTCCTCAGCTGGATCATCCCTCTTTATTCCAGAGTAGGATTGCAACTAATGACTATTTTGCTAATCGATTCTCTTTTTGATTCATTGATAAATAATTGGAAGGAAAAAGGTTCCTTAAAGAAGACTTTAAACAGAATTTAATCTATGTGAAGCTAAAACTGTGCCCTTTGACGACTTATGGATTGAGCATGTAAACGGAAAGGTTTTTCTTCTTAAATGCACAATATTTATACGTTTTTTTTTTTTTTACATTTTTGGTAAAATAATTGCTTTGTGTGGCTCTCTTTCAGCTAAAGGCATGTTTTAGAGTCTCTATACCCAAGTTAACGATTAATGATTACTAAATTAGTTATAAGTATGCAAATAATTGATTAATCTCTGTTAATGCGATTATTTGTTTCAGCCCCATTCCAGAGTGTACCTCCAATTCCCACATCCTCATTTACTCTTCCTTTAATTTACTATTACAGCCATACTATTGGTTAGTACGTTTGGTGTAATACCTGAAAGTCACAGTGGGGTGTGTCATATGTTTAAAAGAAGTCACAGGTAACTTCTCAGCAGGTGTGCTGATTGCGGTGGAAATATACAGTTTTTGACCGTCGTTGTGGATGTTCTGTTTTAAACGTGTGTTGCAACCAGAAAGTGAATGCTTTGGGTGTAGATGGACTGAATGTAAAACAGAAAACGCATCTTGTTTGAGAGCAAAAAGGATCAATAAATGCTCAGAAATAATTTTCAAGCTTCATTCATTGGATCCAAGAAGGCAACGTGGCAACTAATTGCATGTCAGCGGCCCCTGAGTGGCTAAGGTTGTTTTTTTGTTTTCTTTGGAAATACAAGTCACTCCAATCGCAACATCATCTGCAAACATCATAATCTTTGGAGACTCGAGGCAATATCTGTACACCTGTCCATCAACACTGCAGCTAGGAACCCTTTTATGACACCAAAGTCCAGGGGACACGTCTTACTTTGGTGGGACATGCTGACAAACATTCATTTGTTTTTGTTTTTCCTCTTTCACCTTTTTAAAATGGGTCCAAGCTGCACAGACAATGTAATGCAGCTAAAATAGCTGCTCCTTGAACTCCAGCATAGCCCTGGGTTTAAATTATATAGTCACCCTATATGCCCCGACCAAAAAGACCCAAATCCAGTAGATTAGGATAAAATACATATTTACACTACAAGCATCCATCCCGATAGTATTGTTTAAGTACTTTTTGAGCCTAAATAGAACCGCAGCACCAGACACCACGAGCTGACATAAACAGATGTGGCGCCATCTATTGGCAGTCCTGCTGAACTACAAAAAACTGGTGGCCACTGAAGCAGCTACTAAATAAGTCCCGACTTTGCCTTGTTGACAACCCACAGCTAAGAGGAAAAGAATTAAATGAATTGCTACCAACAGTAGCATTATTAGTAAAGACATCCATGTTTCAATCAACTTTAGTTTCAGCATACTCCAACAGTCATCCTGCTTTCCCAGCACAGCTCCAGTTTTATTCCTCTTGGAATCAAGTGTATAGGACTTCCAGACCCGCTTGCCTCCATTGCTTCGGCTTGTTGACCAACTGTACGCATGAGCAGTGATGTAATCATAGATTGCTGTTATGTAAATATACACAGAACAACTATATTTACAAACAAATTAACCACAAACAAAACATTAAAGACAACATAGATATTACATCAGCAGGTTGACATTAAACAATGCATGCAACCACAGTCAGTTACTGTCGAAGAATTATGTGACTAAGTCTCTGCTTTGGTTCAACCCAAAGTTTTTTTCCACAAGAAACGTACATTAAATGAAAGCAGCAGGTTAATTTCCTCATTTTTATTTAATGAGGGGCCCATTTGCCTTCCTACTGTAAGTGAGCAACACCAGAGTTTTACTTGGAAGCAAAACAAATGCAGCATTTGTAAAGGCTGTTCAGATGAACTTTTGATCTGCCCAAAACAATTAAGACATCATGAAAACACAATCTCTGCTCTATTTAAAGCAGACAGATCACCTCCAAGTCTGTCACTTCTACCAAACACCTTACCCCTGTCTCACTTTCTTTATGAATGTCCTGCACCATTCTCACATACATCTCCACCACCTGACTGTGTCCTTTAGAATCACATATCTTCTCCTGTCACAATTTGTTGGCAATTTTTGGACCCAAATGTCCAAAACAAACAGATTCTGAATAAATTATTTAGAAAATTAAATATCAGGTTTTCTCCAACTAGTTCATTTTTTTTAACTGACATCCAAACAAGAGAAAAAACTAGTTTATTTCTTCCAAACACGATGCAAAACTTTGTGTGCTCTATGTTAAACCTCCCTCCCCAAATTAAAATGTTTTAAACTATTCTGGCCAAATCCAGTGAGCAAAAAGAATCATGACAGTTTGTTTAATATATGCTTAAGAGGCCCATCAAAAAGGCATGGGTCTGTCTGGATTTTTACATAATTAAAGACAAAATAGATTTTCCATTTTTTTAGCATGAGATGTAGAAGACGAAACCTTCACCTAAGCACAAATGGAGGAGGCTTTAAGGTCAGAAATTTTAGAAAAGTTGACATTTAAAGATCTTTTTTTAATCATCTTAAAACAATTTCCCTTAAACATATATTTTTTATTATGTTTAATTATAGTTTTATATTATGTTTGCATTGGTTTGTAACATAACCTTGACCTCTATTACACAATTTTTTCAACTTTTAAGCAGCACTTAACTTCCTACTTTGGTGTTGTTGACGTTTCATTTTCTTTTCAAATTTTAAAATGTGCAATAATTGCATTATTTTTGCTGTAATTAAAAAATTGATTTCATTTCAAGAGTTAAAATTTTCCTTTTTTTAAATCCAAATCTATCGTTAATAAACTTAATTACACTACAAAAAATATACAGTATCTTCTCAGACATGAGAAATCCAATCTTTTTGCTTTGTATAAACATCTTTCTTCACTTAATTTCAGCTATCAGACTGAACCCAACACGCTTTAAACTATTTCATACTGGTGAGTAAATACCACTGAATAATTACATATTTACAAGAGATGCACAATATCTTCGGCTGATAAAACTAAACATTGCAAAGAGTTTGTTCCACCAATAAAACACTGATATAAAAGAGGATTCTGCCTGCAGCACCACTTGGATATGTGCACCCAACTAATATATGCAACAGGACACATATGCTGAAGTAAAAATGTGGAGGATGGGAATGTTTTTGAGATTTTAGAAACAGATGATCAAGCTGGTTGCAATGTCTGCAAAGGCCTGGAGGGAGAAAACTAATTATTATCTCTGTAAGTAGGACTAGGAAAAGACATGTCAGTGTTGGTTATTAGCCAGTTGACTTATCAAATATGTGCATCCTTAATTCACCATGAAATAGAAAGAATATCAATGTCTAAGGAGCAAACTCTTTCTATTTAAATGGATCAAACCTTAACTTCTTTATAAAACATAACTTTTAATAGAATCCCCTGAAAAATACCCTAAAATCTCAAAGTGGATGGATCTAATTATTATGCATTATTCTTATTACTATCATTATGCAAACATACATTCCTTCTCAAACTGTAGATCTTAGTTAAATATGTGTAAAACTGTGACAATATACTAGTAAAATGACATTTAATACGACAAAACCGACTCAATACATAAATCACATGGAATAAATGACAATGAATGAATAAAATTTCATTCTACACAGAAATCTTTACAGCAGGGTCAAAATAAAAATAAACTACAACAAAAAGGCCTGATTTAGTTTAACTGAAGCATAGCTGGTGATTAAGAACAGTGTTACATTGTCTTTAAAGCGTCAAATAATTACTTTTAATGGCTAGGATAAAACAATCTGTCCATTAGTTCGCAATTGACGTGAAAGCCTCCATTAGCTACATCTTGTATTATCACAAATGACCCGCTGCTTTTATAAGGTTCATATATGTGTCCCTCCTTTAATGGCCTCAGATAAATGAGCAGAATAAAGCTTTAGTTAGCTCTGACCTGTAGCTAGAAGATGTGACGCATTTTCCAGCCGAGCAGACCCAACCAGCCGCCTGGAGAGGACGGCTCCGCCTCGGAGCAAACGACCGCATACCCTGAGAGCCATAAAGCTCCTAAACTCAAAACTGTTACACGTCAGATAATTAAACTCTAAATATAGCGACAAATGTGTGGCCCTTGTTTACATTCACATTGCCTAAACAGGGACGCCATGTTCACTTGACCAACGACCAACTGTTTCCGCTTTGAAGAGCGTCCCTACTGATTTCTGTTGAAAGCTACACCGCCCCCTAACGCATACCATGGGAACTGCAGTTCTCTACTGAATGCCTTGGCTGTTAGATGCTGGTGAAGATTGTCAGTCATCCAAGTCATAGCCATTCCGGAAAAGTTAAAAAAACAACAAAAAACAATCCACTGGACTTTGCTGTTAGATATTTGTTTTACTCAGAGGCGTAGCCAGAAAATTTTTATAAGGGTGGCCAGGCATTATCCAATGTAAACTGAGGGGTGGCCGAAAGTGGATAGGCACCAGAACCTCACAGTCACTCTATACTGTTCCAACAGAAAAATTAACAAGAAAAGCACCTATATTTTCTAAATAAAGAAAAACTATATTTTCCCACAACCTTTGCTAACAAATAGATTAATATATTCAAACATCCGATAAAAGGTATAGGGGATCAAATTCTTTCAGGTTTTGAGCTCTGAGAGAACATCTTTTCCATTTTCATTACTTACCTACTTTTATCAGTCATCATTCTACATAAAATTGATATTTACAAGCACTAATATCAACATAAATTAATAATAAGTTTGGATGAATAAAGTTATTTATCTATGATTTCACTGAAGAGTCATAGATGATTTGCAGAGACGCATCATTTTCTCTTTACCCCATAAAACACAAAATCTAGTTCTGAAAAGAGCATGAATTCTGTACTTATCATCTTTAATGAAAGTATATATTAGTTCTCATAATTAACCACAGTGTTTTTGTTGTCAAGTAATTGTAATATATAAAAATTAAAAATGTTTTGAATAGTCCACTTAAGAGTATTACTGCTGCCACCATCTATATTAGAGGGAAATAAAGGGTAGGGGTGACCAATGATTGGCTAAGGGTGGCCATGGCCAGCCCTGGCCCCCCATCTAGCTCCGCCCCTGGTTACACTTGATAACCCCGGATGAAAGGCAGACACATTTTACAGTGAATCGAAAGAAAGCAAGATTGTTGGATTTCTAGCCAGGTTAATTCAACCACTGATATATTATATCTAAAACTATAATCAGGCTCAGACTGGGAACGATTTTCAGCCCTTGCATTTTTTCATCTACACCGGCCCATTAATGGAAAGCATTTTAATTTTATCATAATTTAGTTTGTTGCAAGGATTTTACAGTTTGAAGAAATAGAAAAATGACACCATATACCAACCGTCACACGGATATGCATGAGAAGGAAGGGCTATATATACTGCATGCATCATTTAGGTACCGGTAGTTAATATTGTATTATTTCTTGAGCTTCTTGAGTTATTTACTGTCACAGGTAGAAGCTTCGGTTGGAGAGTAAGTGTTGGGGCCGGTATGATTTAAAGAGGGGCGGCCCTCGCATACTGAAATTAGGACGGGCCCACCAGGCAAATGTCCGGTATCACAGATTACCAGTCTGAGCATGACTATAATCTACCATTCTCAATACAAGAAATTGTGAGAAAAATGATAGAGTTTTGGTTAACATTAAAAAAATTAAGAGTTTACTGGTTAATTCATGCTGTACAAAGACACCTATTTTTGCAAACATATCCAGAAACACATTGCCTTTTCTCAACAGTCGCTGCAATTTATCCACTTCTGCTTCTATTATCTGATTAAGACAGAGAAGTATTTGAGTCTGGAAGACTTCCCTGCTGTATTGGCTCTCTGTAGATGCCTACTATCTGTGATCCAAGATTGTTTATCTTTTTGTTTTCTTAAATTCCTCATGAGGATCAAAGAATGATATATTCTATGTTGTCACATTCTTGCTCCCCTTTAACCCCTGCCGTACGTCCAGAGCAACCTTTCCTTAACCTGTATTGACGTATGGCTTATCCAGGCATATATTTACCTATGGAGCGCTTAGTCAGTCTTTACCTGGGGTAAGCAACTTTTTCAATAAGCTGATAACACATTCAGCTTCAAATTACGAAGAAGCAAGAAAAAAAAGGAATGTTGATCAAGAATGAAAGTCAGACAAACACAGTGATACAACCTGCAAAAGCTTTCATACCTGTTGAGCTGTTGTATTTTTGTGGGTCTTAATCTGAAAGATAAACACAAGTTGGTGCCAAAAATATCAGTCTGACGTTATTGTTTGTTTATTTGTTTCAAATCAGCCACACAAAAAGAATGTCCATATTCACATTTATAATTCAAGGAACACAAAGAAAACTACTATTTATCTATGAAGGTTACAGTGACAGTGTTTTTTTAAGTAATTCACTTTTAATTTTTCAATTTTAGGAAAAAAAAAGGGGGTTTCTGTGGAAAATGTATTTTAGACTGAGATATTTTGTTTTACTTGCTGAGATGTACTTGTGAACGAAAAAAAAACATAAAGGGAAAAAATGATCAAACTCATTGCATCAGATTGTATCTATGGTAACACAACAATCAATTAATTATCTGCACTTTGTTTGTACTTTACATCAAAGTAAGTTTGATGATTCATTTTTGATCTTTGGTTCGAATAACTTAAGATATTTCAGTGGAACCAACCAGATCAGTTGTATTCTCATTTTCAAATAATCCTTCAACTTTATGATGTTGGCTGATTACTAATGTTTTCCAGGAAACCTCTGAGGCGTTCAAAGAACATGTGAATTTATGCAGAGGATAAGTTACACAAAGGAGGACCCCTTTTCAACTCAATGCAACTCAACTCATTTTATTTATTAATAGCACATATCTCAAAGCGCAATACAGAGGCAATTTAATCAAATCATACAGTCAGATTGGTTGTAATGACTTACAAGACACGCCCCTCTTAAAGAGTTTGAAGTGATGATATTCGCTGGTATTATGTTGTTGACACTTCAGCAATCCCTCATACCGAGCATGCATGCAGTGACAGTGTAGAGGAAAAACTCCCTCTACACTGTCCAACAGAACCAGGCAGAGTGTGAACGGGCTTCTGGGGGTTCAAGAGGAGAGAAGCAGATATACAAAAGGTAACTCTAAACTAGCTCCACGGGTGACTCTGTCTAAGAAAGAAACAATTAAGCAGACAATCTCGGAGCCAGTATACATGTCAAAGGACAAAAGGAACACTTAATATTAAGTCCCATTTTGTAAATGGCACGCAAAACTGAACCGGACCGTGCCAGAGACAACTAAACCGGTACTAGTTCAACAGTAGGGCTCAGCACAGTTCAGTTCTGGCTCAGTTCTCAGATAAGAAAGAGTGCATGAGAAGACCGAGCCATCTCCTTACAGTCAGCCTCCGTAATCATGAAATTTCAGACATGAATGAAAATACTAGCTTCCCTAACGTGCCATACAATTTCCATTGATAATTCTGCATAGCAGTGTGATGAAACTCAACATCCGTTGTTTTTCCTGCGTGTGTGGGGCGGTAATCAATCAAGTCTGCAATCGTTTGTCTCCACTTCCCAAAAGCACTCAAGTAAATTCCCCAAAGGCTGCCCTCTTTGCCTGACTCTCCACAAACAATGAAATATGACAATTATAAACAAACTTCCTGAATGTTACGAGCACAGCCATGTTGATTTGCTTGTTTCCCTCTAGAACAGAGTAGTACCATAGATCGTCACTTGGAGGTGAGGAACCGTGCTAGCGCTGTGTGTAAACGGTCATATGGAATCGAGCTCGCCAAGGTTAAATGATCCAAACTCTGCACGGATCAGTTTACAGAGGGTAGTGTAAATGGGGCTTTAGTCACAGTAAAGCTGAGCCCATAGCCATGTAGAGAAGAGAATCAGGACTAAACACTGAAAAACAGGCCAAAATCTAACATATATAAATTAAGGAGTTGATGGAGTCGCAGCTAAACAGGAACAAACTGGATAAGACAACTATGATGAGAGTCAGCAGAGAGAATATAAAGTTAGATATTTTGCCAAATGGTAGAACAGATATTGAAAAAAACAGAATGATGAAAGGTGGTCCCTATGCCCTCCGGCAGCCTAAACCTATAGCAGCATAACTATAGAAGTTGCTCAGGATAAACTAATCATTTTGGATGAGGTATGAGAAAGAAAGAACCATTTACTAATCAGATTAAATCTAACTGCAAGTGGTTCAACAGGATTTCCTTTAGGGGTATCTGGGTCTGAAGACATCTGCACTCCATGTTTCTCAGATTTCTACACCTTTGTCAGCAAGATACCACTTTCCTTTCACTTCACAATAATGCAGCCTCTCTCTGTGTTGTTCTAAAGTAAGCGTTGCAGTTTTACAACACTGTTGAACCTGCAGGAAGAAGAAAATCATATACATGCGTAATTTTGCAGCAAATCCTCTGTTACTCCCAGTGGGACCCTGGAGGTCCCCAGCAGAATCACTGTCAACAGTAGGAGAGACATTCAGAGGCGAAAAAACAAAAAACAACCTCCAACAGCAATTCTATAAGAGCTCATCACAATGCAGAAAAACATCTGCTGATATGAGCAACTTGCAGTTTAAATGGATGACGGTGCTCAGGGGATTTTTAGGCCTGAAGATGATGTTCTGTTGATTATTTTGGTTAGGGCTGCTGAGTCCTGTAACCACAAATCAGACTCCACTGCACAGACTTTTTCCTTCCCTCTGGTCCCCTGGAGCACACAGAACAGAGCTTATCCCCCGAGGGTGCTCCAAGCACATTTGTGACAATGTTGTTGAGGTTATATTGAGCGTTCTGCCATGCCTGCTGTCATACCCACTCCCTGCAACTCTTCAGAACCGATCCACAATGACAAGCAGACATAATGACTTTATAACCATAAGGTCCGTAAGGTTAATCAACAGACCGAAGAGACACTGTTTGCACATTGATTGATTACTGTTACATGTTGTTCCAGACGTGCATGGCGAAAAGCAGGCAGAGCAGATGTCTCTCTGTAGTCCATCAAACCCGGCGGCTGTTTGTTAGTCCTTGAGGACTTGCTCGGGTTGGAACAAACACCTCCGCTGGGGGAAAAAATGATGAAGGATATCAGGTAGCTCACAATCTGTCATC